CTCTAAGTAGGTTGGAGGCCATCTCTAGTAGGTTGGAGGCCATCTCTGTTAGGTTGGAGGCCATCTCTAACTAGGTTGGAGGCTATCTCTAGTAGGTTGGAGGCCATCTCTAGTGGGTTGGAGGCCATCTCTGGTAGGTTCAGTAGGTTCTCCTTCCTCCATCTTTCGTGCTTGGCGGACTGAGGGCAATACCATAGATGTAGCGGTTCAGCACACCCCAGCCGAAGGCCTCACGGAGCGTCTCACTGGCGGTCATGTGATCGTGGCGAGAAAGGGCCACCGGCCGGTAAGGCAGCAGGCAGCATCGTCTGTCTCGGTCGGGCCTGTTCGAAGAGTTTGATGTATATAACATTAACAACGACTCCAACAACAATTATTGTTATTGCTATACTCTAGTCTACTCTGCTACTGCTACTGCTACCGCTACCGCTACCGCTACTCCTACTCCTACTCCTACTGCTACTACTACTACTACTACTACTCCTACTCCTACTCCTACTACTACTACTACTACTACTACTACTACTACACCTATCACTACTATGACTATGACTGTGACTACAACCACGACCACCGCTACGCCACGGCTACGGCTACGACGATGTAGATCACAAAAACAGAGATTGCTTCGGGAAAAGATTGTCCAAATGTCTAGGTAGAGCTCCTGACGGACAGTTGTCGTACCTGCGACACCTCCGTGTACCACACAGAAGTCAACGATGAGCTTGCGCTGAACAGGAAGTTGCCATTGGGGAGATCTGTGCTGTCTGTTCGCTTGTGGGAGGAAAACATAACTACAGTATTCCCATGATGGATCATAGTGGACTGTCATCATGGAGGGCCACCACATCTTGACCGCCTCCCTTTAACAACAAAAACCTGAGAAGCTGCAAACGAAAGCCAGCGCTTCCCCTTTTCGACAACTGCGCGTCGAAGCAAGCAGAGAAGAGGCATTGCTGCAAGGCCTAGTATCGCCATGGACAAAAACCGCTACAACTAAGTTCCTCAATTTGTGGGGCTCGAAACCCCTGCGTTTCGAGCCCCACAAACCCCTTGCCATGTGAGCACCAGGCCGCATGCGTCCACCCAAGTACACTTCGTGTGCTATGAATTTTTACAAGTCTGGAGAAGGAGGGCCGACGGGTACAGAACCAGTAGAGATTATCCAATGATCGGCGTTTTAGAACAGATCAATCAAGTTCCCCGATTTGTGGGGCTCGAAACAGTAGCGTTTCGAGCCCCATAAACCCCTTGCCATGCGATCACCATGCCGCATGCGTCCAGCCAAGTAGGCCCACACCACCGCGTAACCTCTGCGCAACTACTTCTCTTTTAAAGCTTTACGTCGCTTGGCCACCGACTAGCCTAGACACCCTTTCCGTCATGTTTCTCACATCGCCTACGACAAACTCTTGGGACCAGTTGAAGGCCGTCTGTCCTTCTCTGTGACAGGCTATCTCGTTTCCTCTGTCAACGCCGATTTTGCTGACTTCGCCAACCACAGGCGACGAAGACATGAATTTACATCGTGCTGGAGAGTCATGTACAACAAAGGACTTTAACGTCTCTTTTGCCTGTGCTTGGTCAGTCTAGCGACTTCTGATGACGTCAGAGATCCTAGCCATGCGAGGACCTCCAGTACCTCGTTCTTCCGACATGTTCGACTCTTTACGTCATTAGCATGCTTTTGTGCTATACCTCTTACACACCTGTGGATTGCTGTGCGTGTGTAGAGGTTATCGAGCGGTTGACGGAAAGGGAACTTGAAGTACTATACCTGGTAGCT